TCCTTATCCATCAGGCAAATGCAACGTGGGCAGACTGTCGGCATTTAAGCTCCTCGTTAGTCGTTGAAAATATGACGAAACAGTGTCAGAGTCTCAGACTGATAGATTCATGCTTTGTTAGCGGAGTTTATCGTAACGAACATGACAACGTACAGTGTCACATACGCACATACAAACACATACAAACACACAGAAACACACACAATAACACAGTCGTTTAAGTACCGGCCATTGACCTGCACGAACTACAGACGATTTGGTGGAAAGCGGCAGCAGCAGCAGCAGCAGCAGCAGTCGTGCAAGTACCAGCCATTGCCCTACGAATGAAAGACATACAAAGTATTACAAAGTAATACAAACACAACCATGAGTAGGGTGCCCTAGTCATTCACAATGATTCACTGACACCTCCACCACGTCCAGCCCCGTGGGGAGGGGACTCAGGAGAAGAGTGCATTGGAAAACGGAAGGATGGGGTGATGATGAGAGGTGGGACCACATGTTCTCTTCATCCTTATTCTTGATGACGTACAGAAATAATAGAACACAGCAACTTGCCAGTCAAACAATATTAATACAACGTACGGTCATTCTAGCTGTGTATCTAGACTGAAAGATACCTCAAATACATACAGCTATCACGCCCGTACATTCGATTCGAACACTGGCTAACTTCTTCCCCCGAGTACAACGTACGGTCATTCTAGCTGTGTATCTAGACTGAAAGATGCCTCAAATACATACAGCTATCATGCCCGTACGTTCGATTCGAACCCTGGCTACCTTCTTCCCCCGAATACAACGTGCGGTCATTCTAGCTGTGTATCTAGACTGAAAGATGCCTCAAATACATACGCTATCATGTCCGTACGTTGTATTCGGGGGAATAAAATAGTATGTCAACAGTTATTGGGTGCACCGACTGTGCTAAGGCCCGTCGGTAACTGCTCTGGATCCCACTAGCGAAGAAGATTGGACTAAGCGCCTGAATCTGGACGAGTTTTTACGCCGAGATACAGAAAAGCCGAGCAATCCCGAATGATCTGCACTTCTCCGCAGACACGGCCAGATTCAGGTTTTCCAATCCAATCTCTTTGCTATTGCTAGTGGGATCTCGCCCTAAGATCCAGAGTGGTATATATATATATATATTTTATTTTTTTTTCCTTCCCTTCTTTCTCTTTTTCCTTATCAAGTCCCACCCCCTCTCTTTCCTTATCCATAACCAATCATTGCATCGAAGCTTCATCGCTTGAAATCGTTGAACTTCGCTTCGATCATCAGACGGTTGATTGTCTCCACCAGTCCACTCATCGACGGCCGTGCCACGTCATCCTCAACGAGGCAATCTCCCGCCAAGCGCAAGGTAGCCATCACCATCTGCTTCAGCGCAACTCCTCCCCCTCCCCCTCCCCCTCCCGCCACCTCCTCCCGCAAGCAGGGTTCCAGAATCTCGTACGCTCTCTCTCCGCCTGCTGCTCCCGCAGCAGCAGCAGCATAACCCTCTCGTCGAAGGAAAGGTCCCGCCCAGTGCACTAAGGTCTCCCATCCCAATCCCGACGGGGATTGTGCGACAGCCTGGCGCCCAGTCAGCAGCTCCAGGACGATCACTCCGAAGGCGTACACGTCGCTCTTCTCGGAGAGGATCCCGGAGTGCATGTACTCAGGCGGCATGTAGCCGAACGTCCCGGCTATGTGCGACGTCTTGATGATGGATTCGTGGGTGGTACCGAACACCCTCTCCCCGATGGTCGCAAGACCGAAGTCGGCGACGACGACCTGCATCTTCTTCTTCTTCCTCCCTCCGCCGCCATCGCCGCCGCCATAGCCACTTCCACCATCGCCATCGCCGAGAAGCACGTTGCTGCTCTTGATGTCCCGATGAATGATGGGAGGGTCGGCCCCGTCGTGAAGGTAGGCTAGCCCCTTGGCAATCTGCAAGGCGATGGACATTCGCTCGGATAGCGTGAGTGGAGGGGGAACCGGTCGCCCGCGGGCGACGGCTTTCCCTCTGTCGTGAAGGCGAGCGTACAGACTGCCGCCTGGAAAGTAAGGGTACACCAAGATGGACCTCTTCCCCTCGTCGCAGTATCCGACCAATCTGATCAGATTGGCATGATGGAGTCTACTGAGAGTGTTCACTTCCGCAACGAACATGTTTCGCTTCTCGTCCGTCAGATCGCCGGTCATCAGCTTGATCGCTAGCTCCTCCTCCCCAATCGCCCCCCAATACACACTGCCGAACGCGCCGCTGGCTCCGACGCGGTAGTCGTCGCTGAAGTTGCCTGTGCAATTGGACAGATCGGCCAAGGAGAATCGGCGGACTTTGCAGAGATCGAGTCCCGATCCCGGCGCTCCCGTCCTCCTCCTCCCTGTGCCTCCTCCTCCTCCTCCCGACGAGGATCCGGATCCCGTGACTGGCGTCTCGTTCGTAGTGCCCACGTGTCTTGAGGAGGAGGAGGAGGACGAGCCGGCGGATCTGGATCTGGATCGCGATCTCCTCCCCTGCCGACGGGCTCGACGGACGAGGAGGAAAGCCATGCATGTCGACGCGATCAGGAAGGCCGCAGCTGAGATGGGCAGGGCAATCAAGAGAGCGAGCTTGCGAGAGCCTGAGGAGGAGGAGGAGGAGGAGGGCTGGGGGGGTGGAGGGGAGACACGAGGCGGCCGCGGAGAGCCGGCGGAGGAGGAGGAAGAGGGAGCACCGGAGTCGAAGGGGGAAGGCGGGGCAGAGGAAGCGGAATCTGGCGCTGGAGCGGAGTCGTTGGCAATGCTGGCAGAGGGAGGACGCGCGCAGGCGTGTAACTCCGACCTGTCGATGATGAGCTCGAACACAGACCCGTCGCTTGCTCCAACGTACAGCCTGAACTCGCTGCCAAATCGACTAAGTGTCAGAGCCCACAAGCCGGTGTATCTCCCGACGGTCTCTACTCGCCTCGCCGTGCTGCAGGGAGAGTCCAGCTTCAACCAGCGAAGCAGACCTCTGCTGAAGTCCGTCACGAAGACGTTACATCCGTCTGGGGTCGTCACTATATCTCCCAGGCCATCAAACGAGCAGCTAAAGCCATCGCCATCGTTCGATCCTCTCTGGCCAGAGCCTGCGACTAGAGTCACGCTTGATGAGGAGGAGGAGGAGAGGGAAGGGGAGGAGAGGGAAGGGGAGGAGGAGGAGGAGGAGGAGGAGGGTAGGGAAGCTAGTCCCCAGACGCGATCGTTTAGTCCATCGACGAAGTAGAGACAGCTTTCGTCCGCCACGAAGCTGTCTGGGCCGAATGCTATGTCCGAGATGTTGACGTCATCATCGCCCACCGGGAGCTTGCCAACCACCTCCCACACTGCGCTGTCGAGCTTCATCTGATACCTATCTGACAGCTCCGTTGAGAGAATGCGAGCTGGCGGCTTCGTGTCTGACACGTAGAGCCGCGTTCTATCCGGATTGATTGCGACGCTTTTCAGCGCATCTGCCGCTACGGAGATCGGCTGTCGGTTGCCATCGACGGTCGAGATCGCGACGAGGTACGAATGCTCGCCTACCGTCATCGGCGCCGCCGCAGTGATTAGCTGATCGCCCCGTGTCGTGAGATCCAGGCCGTTGATTACAGCCATGGACAGCAGCGTTCTGTGAATCACGGGCTCGTAGAAGAAAGCCGTGGCTTCTCGAGATCCGTTGCGCGAATCGAACGGCCACCAGTAGCTGAGCACTGCATGGTCATCAAGATAGGTGAACCCTTCACGGACCCTCTCCATATCTACTTTTCGGATCGACATCCGCTGCCGTTGAGGGGTATCGTTTAAATTGCAGTACTCGTCGAGGATCAAGTACAACTCGCTGCCATCAGGGTGAAACGCGAGGTCGCGTATGACATCTGCGCAGGACCACCCACTATCTTCAAACTGAAACTGAAAGGAGAGAGAACGTGTGTGAACGAGCATGGCTGCGGGACTAACGGAACCAAACGGTGTGGCCGTTAACAGCGTCAGCTCCTTATCGGACTGAGTCGTTGGTGGTGGCTGAACTAGCGAAGACGAAGCCGAAGCCGAAGACGAAGCCGAAGCCGAAGCCGAAGACGAAGCCGAAGCCGAAGGATATGGCGATGGCGATGACGAAGACGAAGACGAAGGAGATGGCGATGGCCAAGACGAAGACGAAGGAGATGGCGATGGCGAAGACGAAGGAGATGACGATGGCGGCATTTCAGACGCCATCGCCGTCAGCCATCTTCCATGCACGTCGTGGGTTAATGTTGACCCGCTGACGGAGGAGGAATCGGTAGTGGTGGTCGTCGATAACCGTGGCCCAAGGACCGGTCGCTCGTTGGTGATCACATGGTCGCTGGCGCCTGCGATGCCCATCAGCAGCAGCAGGAAACAGCTAACGAAATGAACCCTGGGACAGCGAGAGAGAAACGATGGGAGGAGGATCTTGCAGTGATATACATGAGAGGCAATCGTACTCATCCTCCTCGACGAGGTAACGACCCGACACGATCGCACATGCAGACGAACAAACGTAGTCAATCACGCCAGCACATATCTAAGAGAGAGACGGCAGGAAACTACAATGGTAGCCCGATCAGCTGTGAGAGTCAATCCCGCTCTCGCCCTCACATATCCGCACAATCGCAACCCTAAATCTTCGGATGACTCGAGCGATCTCTCAGAAGGTCATGTCTTCCTTCCCTTGGAATTGTCTCTAGGCTCTAGCTAACGTGACGCACCCATCCGTACACGCCCCCTCCTTT